AATTTGACCCACATCAACATTATGAACTTATATGAACATTTGATCAAGTTTGGATCACAAATTCCACAAGAAATTTGATCAGATCACCAAAAGGGCAAAATGGTCATTTTTAGGGTTTTGACTGCACAAAGGCAATTTTTGACTGTTTGACCTAGCCAATGGAAAATCAAGCTCACCCATGGACTCAAGGACTCAATGAAATTGTCTTGACCCATTCAACAAGTTCAAAATATCTCATATGCATAGGATTGACAGATGAATTTTTCAGTCAACTGATCAAAATTTGACTGTACACTGAAAAGTCAAACTTTGACTTTTTGGTCAAAATCAAGTGCCAAGAGTTATTTTTCATCAAGACATGTCAAATTATGAAACTTTTTCATCAAGAAACCCAAAAATACAAATTAGGGTTTAAAATGGAAAATTTTCATAACTTAGAATTTTTCTAAGTTATGAAATTCTTATTTTTTCCTAACTTTGTCCCATTTTTTTTCACCAAGATGCTATTGGATTCAAACAAAACTTGAAACATGAAAGTTATAGTCCATCACAAAGTCTACAACTTTGATTCACAAAGTTTTCTCAAAATAGGCTTGTATCTCAAGTTATGATTTTTGGAACAAGGGTACCTAAAACTTTTAACTTAGAGAAAATTTGCCCTAATCTAGGAAGGATTTTGACCCATCTTCTTGGCCATTTTTCACATAGTTCCACTTGGAGTTTCAAGTTGCATTTCAAATATGGATTATAGTACATGTTCCAAGATTTACAAATTGTCTAAGAACTCCTCAAACACCCTTGTGGTTAGTGAGAATCGAATGCTTGAAGTTGGCAAAAACTCACTTTTGTCCATGGCCAATACATGTTCATACCAATTTGCAAATCTGATCTAGCTAGCTTGGTTCACAATTACAGGACTCAAAACCAGTTTATACTCCATAGTTTAATGCATATCCATTGAGTTAAGGTATTGTCTTGGTCATTAGGGCATTATACACAAGATTAAGCTCTAAATGGTAAAAGGTATATTGCCATTTTTGCAAAAGGTTACTTTATGTCAAAACACTAAGAATTGAGCCTTGAACAAAATCTGATACTGCAAACCAAATCCATGGATTAGAGGGGCCAAGAGTGTTGTGTACAGGGTGATAGGAGAGTTTGTACAAAGCTACAACATCACTTTCACACTCTTGCTTCAAAAAGAAGAAAAGTTGCAAATCATACAAAAATCTCACACATCTGTTAAGAAGAACTTACACAAACATTGTAGACAACTTTCATACCTCCCAACAAGTCAGAAACACGACCCTTCTGCCTCCCAAACCCCCTTGTACTCAAAATCCCTGTTTTGCTGCAAAACAGGGCAAGCTCTGCAAACTTCAAGCCATAACCAAATTCCATCGTGCGTTTTGTCCAAAGATACTTCAAACACCTTCCAACCAACATATCTAAGCTATCCAGATCATCCATTGATAGCTGTAACACCTCTAACACACATTGCCATTTTTGTTTCAAAGCTTTGCAGGTTGAGTTCTCTGGCACGATTCAAGCTATTTCAAAACAAGCCAAGCATTGGAAAAGCTTCCTTGGACCTCAGGCAAGCTCAAAAGAAGCTCAAACACCATTGAAGGTTGCCACATTGTCCAACTCGAACTCAACTGAAACAGGTATTTCATGGACTTCTATCTCTCTATTTAGGAATAGTAAGGCTTAGGTTTGTGAATGAAATATGTTGTACTCATAGCCCTGAAGCCATACATATGCTTAGTTTTCATTTACATTAATCGTGCTAGTAGAATTTCATCCATGAACTTTCTGAAAAAACTAGGTTAGAAATTAGGGCCAGAGAAATTCTCTCTGGTCTTTGAGAGTTAGTCCAAGTTTTTTATATGGTTGGATTCGTTGTTTAATGCTCTACAATGTTCATATTATGAGTTTTGTCAAAAAATCAAAGAATCAGGAGTTGGCATTTGTGTACAGAAGCGCGCGTGTTTTGATTCAAAGGAAGAAAATGAAGTCTGACTGGGCTGGGCCTGGTTGTTCTTTGCTTTTGACACCCCACTTTTCTGTTTACACCCCCTGGC